ACGGGACATTACTGGCCAGAGTTGGCAAAGCAGAGAAGCGGCTAGTTTCCTATAGGTAAGTATTATTGCTATGAATAAATCCTTAGGAGTGAGGGTCTTCAGATAAACATGGTTTACTCTCTACTGGTGATCAATGGTTTTATTACATAAAACATAGGGGTACCCTCTGTTTTACAACAGATCTTGGGATCTTATCTTCAGCAAAACACTTGTGTGGTGAATTAACAAACCCAACCAATCATCTTCATGGATTAAGAAATGTTTGGTAAATGAGGAGGAAGAAAAATGTGATGGGAAAGGTGTGTTCTGTCTAGGTCTGCAAGAAGGTGGCTAGATTATTATCAGAAAGTACAAGAACCAGAAGGGTGGTGGGGAAAAGGCAGTTACAATTCTTTTTGTTCAAATAGCATTTAATAAAAACTCTCAATGACCATAGTAGTACCATACAGCATCTACAGAATACTGTGTTTCTGGTACTTTGTTCTTCATCGTGTACTGAGATTGGGTATCCCAGTTTCACAGGGCAGTGCTGCGAAGTTGATCCCCCCATCATTTGTCCCATTCCTACTACAAGCAACACAATCACTGTGTTAGAGGATTTCACAAGCCATGTTTTATGGGCTGGAGTTCTGTGAAAGGTGATCCCATTTAAATGGCCCAATCCACTGAATGAGGGTTTTGGCTTGTTTGAATTATTTTTAAATGAACACTTATTGAGTGCTTCCTTTGTACCCAGAACTGTACAAAAACACTTTGCATGTGCAAAACAATCTCACCTGATCATTGCTAGTGCACAGCACTAGCATCATGCCCATTTCACATATGAATACATTGGGACAGAGATCAGGTGATTTGTTTAAGTTAAGTAACTTGCCCAGGATTTTCTGGCTGAGCAAAGATCGTAACTCGGATTTCCTGATTCAGGTATAGAGCTTTTATGTCATACATACTGCCATTTATGCCTGTGAAACAGGGTAATTTTTGATATTTGGGATGCACACCAAAGTCTTTACAGAGGATAGGAGCACTTTCCAAAGAGGAACTCAGCTCGCAATGATAGCTGCCTGGCTTCTCATATTCTCCCTATTCTGGCCTTTCCCCACCTATTCCTTACATCTCTCTGTCCATTCATGCTCTAGGATTCATCTTTGTTTAAAGCAGGCTGTTTGTTCATTGCTCCTTGAATACTCTGTGCTCAGCTTAACATACCATGTGTTCCCTTGCCTGAAACGCCACCTCCGTTATTCTCCCACCATTGAATACCAAGATTGAGATTTTCTGGAAACACTCCTCCCCCCCCCCCCGCCCCAATCATTTTGCTCCTAAATGAGCTCCCTTCACTTAGTTTCAAATTCACAATTAATTACATTTGTCTGTTATCATCTGCTTCCAGTCATCTTGAAATATTTTTGATAAATCTTTCCCAAACTTCATACTTAAAATAAGGGAATTATTATTTATAATCTTTATTGAGCATTAGACTTCTGCCTTTATATTTTGCTAAGGTCTTCTCCAAAATTGCCTTGTGACTGTTCTGTGAAGTATGGGTTATTATGACCATCTTATAGGACAAAAATTGAGGCTTCAAAAGATGAATACATTGTCTAAGACAATGCTAGTGGCATAGTCAGGACCCATAAGTCACTGTCCCCAGAGCGTGTTTGTCTCCCAGGACAGTGATTGTTGCCTTCAGAGTGGTATTTTCTTTTCATTCATCCTCTTACTAGTTTACATAACGACTTTCAAAGATATTCTAGTTAAAAAAAAAAAAGAGTCCAGAAAGATGTAGAGTGAATTTCTGCATATAATATCAGGCACATTGTCCTGATTTGGGTCAGCAGGTAACCTCTCCTTGTATTTCTCTAATCATAGTCTCAAGAATAGAAATACGTACATTAGGGCAAGGTGGCTCCAAGTATACTTCCTGTTTCAGAAACGTCACTTCTTTAGAGGTTGTTTGAACAGTAATTATGCCCTGTTTTTCTGTAAAATTAGGATATTTTAAGCAGAAATTTCCACAATGACTTTTTTCAGATTTGCATGCTTTCCTTTGTTTCAAAATTACTGCCATCATCTAATGAAGAGGAATAGGTTAAATTAATCAAAGGAAAATTTTAGACTGAATATTAAGAAAAAAATCTGCTGATAGTGAGATCCATTATACTTTATTAGAAGCTCCATTGATTGAGTCATTTAAAAAAAGATTGACGATCCCCTGAGATGATTCTGAGACTACCCCAGGCCAGGGGAGAGAGGAGCAGATGGAACCCACAGGCCCCTCAGTCTCTAATGTGGGTGATTTTTTTCTGAATTCCCTCATTTTACCTTCTTGTCAACAAATCCTGCCACCATTTCTCTCACATCTTTGCAGCCTCTTTCCAGAGCTGTTAACAGAAATCATTTCACAGAGAGTGGGAAAGAATGTCATTTTGTCATTTTCTTGGGGGAGTGGATGGGAAAAACAGGCGGTCTCTGCTTCCTAAGGCTTTCATGATGAAAACAGAAGAGGAGAGTGAGGCCTGCCAGCTTGTGGGGTATAAGAAACAACTTTACTTGGCAGCACTGTGTGGAAATAGTAACTGGAAACTCCCCAGTCAGCCTCTCTCCTTATTAACTAAAAGGAAGGACAGTTTGGGACCACATGACACACCAAACTTGCTGGCACTAATGAGCTGCATAAACTTAATCATTACATTATATCTAAAAAGTAAGAGGGACCTTAATGATAATCAGGTATAACCTCCTTTTTAATGCAGGAACTCCTGTTAATTACAGAATTCCTGTGAGATGGCCATTGGAAGCTCATTATTTCATTGAACTTTCCATCCCATGGTTAGTTGTTCATTTGTTAAGAAAGTCACCCTTTTATTGATCTAGGACATTTTTCCATTAGTATTTACTTTCCTGTTTGGAATAATAAAAATAATGTGTGATAAAAAGAGAAATAATGATAATTATGATAATGATGGCTCAGAAAATTTTTTCCTATATGGTAGGCATGTAATAAAATTGCATGTGATTATGCCCATTTGTTATCACAAACATTTTATATTATAGGCATTAATATTTGCTCCCCTTTTATAGAAGAAGGAATCAAGACCTAGAGTACTAAAGTGACCTTGCTCAGAGTCACACTACCAATTAATAAGGAGTTAGATCTTACGGCCAAGTCTGTTAAATCACAGAGCTCAAGCTCTTAGGCACTTTGCATCCTGGACACACAAACAGCTTCTACCTTCTCATTTTACACGTTATCTCCTTATTCATTTTTTTCTTGTTTGCACATCTCTGCTTCCTTAAGAATTCCTTAATTGATATGACTTTAAGTCACCACATGATCATAACTGATTTTATTTAAAGGTTTCTAGCTTTCTTAATGTATGGAACTTTGAACTGGAAATAATACTGAAACGTTTGACAAATGCAGCATACAGAAGATTCGATGGCCACCCTTCTTCATCACTTTTTCAAATCAAATTTCTGCATCTGCAAAAATTATTAAAATAAAGGTGATAGCTTACATTATAAAAACACCAAAATACAGAACTTAAAGAAGATAGAAAATATTGACAATTGAGAAGACCCTATTTTCAGATCAGAAGGATTCTTTTTATTTATTTGAAACATCACCATTTTCTCTATAAAAGGGAGTAGTACACAACTTAGTTTAGGGGAGCCTGAGAGGCTCAGTTGGTTAAGCATCTCACTTTGGCTCAGATCATGATCTCAGGATCCTGGGATGGAGCCCCAGGTTGGGCTCCCTGCTCAGCAGGGAGTCTGTTTGTTCCTCTCTCTGCTCCCCTAACCCCTGCACTTGCACTCTCTCTCAAATAAGTAATAAAATATTAAAACAACAACAACTTAGTTTAAATGATTTCTTCCTTAATTTTGAGGACATGGAACCAGATCGTCCCCCATCAGCTGAAATTTGGGGTGAATATCCTTTATTCTCAGCCACCTTGGGTGCAACCACACAGGGGGTGCATCATTCTTGCAAATTAAAGAGCCTCACTGTAATATTATGGCTATGCTAATGTTGCTAACAGAGCTCAGGCTTTCAGATTAGTCAGGAAAAGAAGTGAGAAGTTGGTTAGACTGGCTTTGGTTAGTTAAGGAGAATCAAAGAGGAGAAGCATTATTCCCATAGGGATAGTGGAAGTTGGGGCTACTACAGAAGATACTGACTGGTGATGCCTTGGCCTGGAACCCTCAAAGTTTGTATGCTGATATAGAAATTGTGCTGAAAAGAAGGGGTCTATGAGAAAATTTCTGGGGTGTGTAGAAGTAAGATAGTGTGCTTTCAAGGAACTTTTACACATTCCAGGCAAGTAGCAAAAACCAGTGCCAAAAGAAGCAGATAGACCTTATTAAAAGAAAAAAAGTAGTAGTAAAAGTGATAGTTATAGTAATAAAATATTATGTAAAATATAATAATATCAGTAATAAAGGAAGTAAAACATGGAAATAAGGAGAAAAGAAGGCCTTTGGAATTAGGCCATTGCTATGCCTTTCCATGTCCTTTTCCATGTGACTTAATGATGTCTCAGGCAATAGGTCTTCAAGAAAGTGTCTTGAGAGAGGTAGCCTGTTGCAATGAAAAGTAAACATTATTAAATAACAGGAGTTTTGGTTTACAGCTCTGGTCAAGTAGTACTGTTGTTGGAGGTACTTTTTATTATTGGATTATTATATGTAAAGATTTAAGAACAACAACAATAACAGTAATGAAATAATGCTTAAAATAACACCTCTCCCTGACTCTACCTCTCCAATTACCTTGCCCTTATTCTTGTTAGTTTTAAAAATTCTTGTTCTTGTGGAGGTTTTATCCATAGCTGTAAGCAAGGTGTTGGTGTAACTTTTTCTTGATTTATGAAACATAGGCATTATCATTTACTGCTATTAAAGATGAAGACTTAGCTAACTTCCATGACCTCAATTTCCCTTCTTCTACTTAACTCTTAGCTAATATTTTAGTTTTCCAGTAGGTTAAGTCTTCAGTACTTGCTTCAGCAGCACATATGTTAAAATTGGAATGATAACAGATATGATCATGACCCCTGCTCAAGGATGACATGCAAATTAATGATGCATTGCATATTTTTATGGAATATTGTTCTGCCTTAAAAAAGATTGTACTTTAAGGGAAGACTCTTGGAAACATGAGGCTAAGTGAAATAAGCAAGAAACAAAAGGACAAATATTTTATGATTCTACCCTTGTGAGATACCTAAAGTAATCAAATCATTGAGACAGAAAGCAGAATGATGGTTGTCAGGGGCTGGGAAGTGGGGAAAATAGGACTTGTTGTTTAATGGATATGGAAATTTAGTTTGGAATGATGAAAAAGTTCTGGAGATGAATGGTGATGATGTCTGTGCAACAATGTGGATATATACTTAATATCACTAAACCGTATATTCTTAAAAATTCTTAAAATGGTAAATTTTATTTTATTATTATTTTTTAAAAAGATCTGTTTATTTATGATAGACATAGAGAGAGAGAGAGAGAGAGAGGCAGAGACACAGGAGGAGGGAGAAGCAGGCTCCATCCTGGGAGACTGACGTGGGACTTGATCCGGGACTCCAGGATCGCGCCCTGGGCCAAAGGCAGGCACTAAACTGCTGAGCCACCCAGGGATCCCCTAAAATGATAAATTTTAGTATGCATATTTTATCACAATAAAAAAATATAAACTATCTCCTATTCAACTTTTCATATCTCTTGACTTCCATATAAAATTAATACGTTTTTTCACATCTCAATTTTCACCCTCATTGTACTGGAATAATATCATATACAAGCTATTCATAAAGGTATGTAGAAGCAATTGTTGTTCTATTAGTTCTGTTCACAAATAACTTTTCCTCCTCTCTGCCTTCTACGCACATGGAATTATTGAACCTTTGTACCACTTGTGGCTGTGAAGCCAAGGGACTAGCTTTGGCCAATTAATTGAGCAGCAGGGAAGCAAATTGTTCTCAGATCCAGGCATCTAACTGTATAGCTGTCAGTCCTCTGATACAGCAACTGGCAAAATTTGAGATGACTTTTTTTTTTCTCCTAAGTTCTCAGATTTTCTGATGTTATGTTTAGAATGGGTATGTTTTCACCCATTCTTGTATGTAAGCAGGGTACCCTTTAAATAGATTCACGTCCTACAAAATTTTTCCTGTGTTTTATTTTGTGTATTTCTTCCCTTCTCTTTTCTGTTTTCTTCTTTTAGAGATCATATTTGTGGGATGTCTGGTATTAATGATTATCCTCTTAGGCCTTTTATATTTTATCACATATTTTCTGTCTCTGTCCTTTTGCTCTATACTTATGTAGAGTTCTTTGACTTTATCTTATTGTGTTATTGTGTTTGTTTTTGTTTCGGTTTTTCGGTATAATCTTTCAAATCTCTCTGAGAATACTAATTAGGTTTTTTCAAGTTTCTTCTCTTCAGTGAGTTATTTCTGTTTCCACTGGGATTGTTTTGTTTATTTGCCATTTTAATGCTGCTAATTTTCTTTATATGCGTGAGTGATTATAAGTTATTTGTGCATTTTTAAGACAGGAAATACTCAGTTGGCTTTTCCAGGGAGTGGATTGGATCTTCTCTGCACTGTATTTGCATGCTTGTTTTCCTTACAAGGTTTTTCCTTCAGTGAGGAGGCTAACCTGGCCAGGTGTGTACTTAAATCATTGAGGAGCCAGGTTTTTGATAAGGGATTACTAAAATGGGGAGAAGTTTATTCTGTGGGGCTAGCACCCAGCTAGTAGTCCTATTTCTCCCCACTCAATGCAGTACATTTCTTAACGTATGGGTCATTGTTTTTGTTATGGTGATTATCATTTTGCTTTGTTTTCTTTTGCCTTGAAGCAGTGTGAGGTTTCCTGTACTGTTGTTATATCCAGATAGAAATGTGGGAGAGAGGGGAGAGGAGCAGGGAAGTGATTGGCTTCGTGTTCTAGAAACAGAATTTCAGTCAGACTTTCTATTTCTTTCTACCAGCTTTGGCTTGTTTTCCTAATCGTACCCTCCATTCTTTCTAATTTTATTCCAGAAGTTTTAGGGGTTCTGCCTAGAAAATTAGCTATTTCTTTCTCTACCATCCTTTCCTGTGTTAATTTTGGGCTGCGGATTCCTCAGTCTTCCTTGTTCAATTGTATGATTCTCATCCATTTTTCATCTTCCAGAAATGCTGTGACATCTAATGTTGAATGATGGCCCTTCTTCCAGTCCCTTTCCTATTAGGCTTTATGGGTTTAGTTCTGTTTTTATTCTCACTTATTTTAATGAGAAGAGAGGCAAATGCAGGCACTTGATCGCCATGTTAAACTAGAAATCACCCTGTGCACTTGCAGAAAACCAAGAACTGCATTGCACTTTGCACTTCTGTGGTGCCATCCAGTATGTTCTCATTGAGGGCCATAAGTGCTGAGTTTGGATAACGTGAACACAGGTAGATATTTTTATTGTTTCCTGGACACAAGGCACATTGACATCTTTTCATGGTTTTAAGCTGTTTGAAAATAATATAATAGGAAATTAGAAGGCAAATGAAAGTCAGTATTTGAATCAATGACCCTTTCTCTTGCCATATCTCTTAAAACAAAACAAAACAAAACAAAACAGGGTCTTGGAAAAAGGTGGATATCACCAATGCAAAATTCCATTATTAAACTAGAAGTTCTGTTTTTTTTTTTTAAGATTTTATTTATTTATTCATGAGACACACACACACACACAGAGAGAGAGAGAGAGAGAGAGAGAGAGAGAGAGAGGCAGAGACACAGGCAGAACGAGGAGCAGGCTCTATGCAGGGAGCCTGACGTGGGACTCCATCCTGGGACTCCAGGATCATGCCCTGGGCTGAAGGCAGGTGCTAAATAGCTGAGCCAACCAGGGATCCCCAGAAGTTCTGGTTTTGAGTGTACCTTGTTACAATGGCCTAATTTAAAAGAAACTAAAAAACAATAAAAGTAGTAATTATCAGAAAAGCTAAAATATTTTAGTAGGTTTTCTGTTTGCATTTTAGAAGATGTTGTATCTCAAAGAATCTTGAATTCAGGTTTTATTCTTGTAGTTTCCTGCATCTATAATTATCCCCAAAGTCGTTTTCCTCAGTTCTTGTAAGAATACATCTGGTACTTCTGAAAAATATTTTCACAAGTGCTGTTGGGTGATTTATCGGTGCTTACATCTATCCTTTGCTGGGTATATAAAATCGTGCCTACTCCAAATGTCCGGTGCCAACAGCAGCATGGTTTTCATAATCCATCCAAACCTCCCTTCTGTCCACCTGCTTTTATTAACTCACCCTGCTTTTGCCCTCCCTAAACTTCCAGACTTTTCATGATGTAGTCTCGTGTCTGTTATATGCCTCTGCATCCTCCCTCTCTGATAACTCATTTGAATCTTCTTGTCATTTATACCAATCTGTCTTACTCAATATCGCATACCCAAGCCTCTTTTGACCCCATATTTCTTAATGTTTTTTCTTTCTTTCTTTCTTTTTCTTTCTTTCTTTCTTTCTTTCTTTCTTTCTTTCTTTCTTTCTTTCTTTCTTCTTTTCTTTCTTCTTTCCTTTCTTTCTTTTTCTTTTTCTTTTTTTCTTTTTTTTTGAAGAGTGGACTGTTGGGTACCGTCCAGTGTAGATGAAGAGAAGAAGGAACAAAAGGTTTCTCCAATTTGAGCTCTATGCTGTGTATCAGGCTAGAGTCAAATACTAGATTGCATCTAAGGAGAAAAGCTGTTGGTCAAAGCTAAAGTACTTGTAGGGCAAGGTGCCTGAAGTACTGGAGAATACTGGAGCAGGGAGGAATAGATGGGGATAAGTCAACTGAAAGTGGCCTATATGATTATTAGAGTTAAAGGCTAACGTTCCCAGCTCTGCTTTTGTGCACAATATACTTTATAAAATAGAATATATGAAATTAAAAACTGAGTCTCGTCCTACATGCTATCCATTGAAAACCAAACATGAATGATTTATGTGCTTATCAAAGATCTAATAGATATAAGCTATGCAATGCATTATAGTAAAAATTATGGAAAATTTGATAGTGGCTAAGGCATTACCCTCAAAGAGACCTGTTATATGGCAGGAGAGAAATAAGTACACATTTAATGCAGTGATGGGAAGGAAGAAAGGAATGACAGTATTTTGTAAGTGCCAGTATAAATTGTTTAGAACTAAAAAGATACAGTTTATTTATGGTTGCAGTTAATTTTTTTTTTCATCTTATCCCTTGGACCCACAAAATCAAGGCAACACTTACCCTCACTGGAGAGCACATGTTAGGATGGGAAATAATGACAGCTTGCCAGCCAGTTCTGTCATGGCCTATGGCAGGGCATAGTATCCATTTATTGAAAGTATGCTGGAGGTGGCCAAAAGTTCCTGTTAATCACTTTTTTTTTGCCTATAAAATGCAAATACTTTCTTAATAAAAATATTTTAAATTATGCCATCTGGCAAGTCATCTTGCCTAATTACAGTTCCAAATCTTTCCATTGATTTTCTCACAGGAGAACTTGAGGGTATTTTTCTACTCTTCCAATTCTCTTTCAAAAGTAACAAAAAATATGAATCACCACTGATCCTTCAGTTCATTGCTGGATGTTTCTTTAGATAACTATACCTTTTAAAGCATTTTGTTTACTAATGTGTTTGTTTCTACACCTACACTATACTGCATTTATAATAAAGTCTCCCATTTAGCCATTTTGCCAAAGGAGAGGTCATTCTGTGGCTAAAGTCACTAATGTTACTAGAGAGTACCCCAAACCATTGCTATATATGGCTTAGTTATTATACTCAGCAGAGCTGTGTTTTTGTTTTTGTTTTCATTATCAATTATCATCACCTTCAGTATTCTAAGAATCTGTTAAATCCCTGTGTTTCTAGCTTCCAAGTGCACAGAGTGAGAGAAGGAAATATCTTCCTGTAACAATACTATGCAACATAAGTTACAATGCTTATAACACAGATTAGGTCAGCTGGAACCTGCTTGGTCTTTGAATTGTGAGGAAAGGGAAGATACTACAGCCAGGGCTGTCAGTCTGAGCACTGCACAACTTTCAGGGGTGGCACTTGAAAGATGGCAGTGAACA